CACTGAATGGCAGTGCTGCACACTAGGCAGTACTGCCCCAGGAAGCACCTCTAGCAGCCATCTAAGGAATGGCCAGTGGAGTTATTTTCTCTGAAAAGACAGTGTTTACTGCAAAAAGCCTGAATGGAATGATTCTACTTACCAGAACAAGTACAATAAGCTGTAGTTGTTCTGGTGACTATAGTGTCCCTTTAAGTTTGGAAGCTTAAGAGGGATGTATGGGAACAAAACTTGTGTGCACTAGCTGACATTAAAGTTAGTTTAGGTAATGCAGACGTTGGTCTCTCTAACACTGTGGCATGTCCCCTTTCTTCTACACTCACTACAGACACCTTTTCTCTGTCAGACTATACCAGGAACTTCTGCCTGCTAGTAAGAAGGTAAGGAGACAAGTGGACCAGCGAGTGCTAGGGGACAGTCCTTAGAAAGAATGGAGTGAGCGCATCATTAGACGCATTTATGTCAAGCTCAAGGTGCTGCCTGCATTGTATGCCTTTAGTTGGACAGCCTGCAGGATTGGCAGGCAGCCTGACATGCATTCATGCCAGGCTGACCTTCAAATTCTTTGGACAAACATGCCCCCTTTTTGGCAGGTCTTGTCACGTGATTCGCGCCAGTGGCACACCCTTTTACCCCGCCCATTGACTTCCTGCTTCACTGGACACTGCTGTTAGGGGTTATGGATTTACTTGAAAGATGAAAGCATAAATTAGAGAGAAATTAGCATAGAGTATGTGTTTTCTTATAGCTGCATCCCATGAGTTTCCCTCCAGCACCATCTCCATCAGATACATGACGCTTGGGAGGTATGATTGTTTTAGTGTTTTTGGTCGATAAGATTCCGTAATTAGGCCCATCATAATTGTCAGCACCAGGCCCACTGTGCTCTTAATCCGGCCCTGGGGGAGGGTCATAGCAATCTACAAAATGGAGATAGGACAAAAAGGAGATGGGCTTTAGCACAGTATAAGGGGGGTGGAAACGGGGGGAGGGGCAAGCTCAGAACAGAGAAGCTGTGTAATGTTGAAAATTCACAAAATATACAAGTGGCGCATAATATTAAATGTATGCTTACTAATGCAAGGAGCCTAAATAACAAAATGGGGGAACTAGAGGCATTAGCATGCACTAAACAATATGATATAATAGGCATAACTGAAACATGGTGGGATGAGACACATGACTGGGCAGCTAACTTAAATGGGTGCATGTTATTTAGGAAGGATAGGAAAAACAAGAAGGGTGGTGGGGTATGTTTGTATGTCAAACATGATTTAAAGCCAAATGTTTAGCAAATGGAATGTGAGGAGGATAATGTGGAAGCTTTATGGGTAAATATCTGCTTGGGGGAAAAGAAGGGAAACCAACTATTGGTTGGGATATGTTATAAACCACCTAATGTTAATATTGACGAGGAACAACAGCTGTTTGAGCAAATTGAGAAAGCTGCAAATCTAGGTAACACTTTAATTATTGGAGATTTTAATTACCCGGATATAAATTGGGACAGAGGGACTAGTGCCTCAGCAAAGGGAATTAGGTTTTTAAACTTGTTAAATTACACCTTCATGTCACAACTTGTACAAGCACCAACTAGAATGGATGCTTGTCTGGACCTGGTTTTAACAAACAACGTTGATCTTTTGACCAACATTCAAGTAGGTGAGCACTTGGGAAATAGTGATCACAATATAGTGTCCTTTGAAATAAACTCAAAAAAACAAAAGCACATGGGGAATACTAAAACATATAATTTTAAAAAGGCCAATTTCAATAAGTTAAGGGAAGCTTTACAATATATTGACTGGCATAAACTCTTTAGTGAAAAGAACACTGAGGATAAATGGATCATCTTCCAACAAATATTACAAAGGTACATTTCTCAGTATGTACCGTTGGGAAATAAATATAAAAGAAACAAATTAAAACCAATGTGGCTTAGTAGAGAAGTAAAACAAGAGATTACAACTAAGAAAAGGGCATTTAGAGCATTTAAATCGGACAAATCAGATGCATCTTATAAAAGATATAAGGATGCAAATAATGCGTGCAAAAAGGCAATTAGACTTGCTAAACTTCAAAATGAAATAATGATAGCTGAAGAGAGCAAAACCAACCCCAAAGCATTTTTTAAGTACATAAATTCTAAAAAAAAACAAAATGAAAGTGTAGGTACACTAAAAACTGAAACGGGGGTGTTAGTTAATGAAGACCAGGAAAAGGCAGGAATTTTAAATAACTATTTCTCCTCCGTATATATTAAGGAAGAACCCATGGCAATAGATGTGCAAATGATTGCTACTAAAAACTTGCAGAATAATTGTAATTGGTTAACTCAAGACAAGGTGCTGCAGCAACTAAAGAAAGTTAATATAAACAAAGCTCCAGGGCCTGACGGTATCCATCCATGTGTACTTAAGGAACTAAGTGCAGAAATAAGTGAACCTCTGTTTTTAATCTTTCAAGATTCTTTTCTTTCAGGAAGTGTTCCGGAGGATTGGAGGAAGGCAGATGTGGTTCCTATATTCAAAAAGGGTTCAAAATCCTTGCCTGGAAATTATAGACCTGTGAGCTTAACTTCTGTGGCTGGTAAAATATTTGAAAGGTTATTAAGGGATAATATTCAAGAATTCCTTGAGAAGAACATGGTTATCAGCAAAAATCAGCATGGTTTTATGAAGCACAGGTCATGTCAAACTAACTTGATTGAATTCTACGAAGAAGTAAGTAGAAGTATAGATCAGGGTGTTGCCGTGGATGTGATCTATTTGGATTTTGCCAAGGCATTTGATACAGTTCCACACAATAGATTAGTGTTCAAACTCAAGGAAATCGGTCTAGATGAAAATGCTTGTTCTTGGGTAGAACATTGGCTTAAAAACAGAGTACAAAGAGTTGTCATTAATGGTAAATTTTCAAGCTGGACAGAGGTGGCAAGTGGTGTCCCTCAGGGGTCTGTTCTGGGACCCCTTCTATTTAACATGTTTATAAATGATCTTGAAGACCACATTGAAAGTCATGTTTCAGTGTTTGCAGATGACACAAAACTTTGTAAAACAATACAATGTGAGCAAGATATTACTTTGCTGCAGAGGGATTTAGATAGACTGGGGACTGGGCACTCAAATGGCAGATGAAATTTAATGTTGAAAAATGCAAAGTTATGCACTTCGGCGTAAAGAATACACAAGCAACGTATACCCTTAATGGAAGCGAATTAGGGATAACAACACATGAAAAGGACTTGGGAATTGTTATAGACAACAAACTATGCAACAATGTGCAATGTCAATCAGCAGTGGCCAAGGCCAGTAAGGTATTGTCATGCATGAAAAAGGGCATTCATTCTCGGGACAAGAATATAATTTTGCCTCTTTATAAATCACTGGTAAGACCCCATATTGAATATGCTGTGCAATTTTGGGCACCTGTTCTAAAGAAGGATATTATGGCACTAGAAAAAGTGCAGAGGCGGGCTACAAAATTAATAAAAGGAATGGAACATATCGGCTATGAAGAAAGGTTAACAAATTTAAACCTATTTAGTTTAGAAAAACGTTGCCTGAGAGGGGATATGATAACATTATACAAATATATTCGGGGCCAATACAAACCATTGTGTGGAAATCTATTCACAAACCGGACTTTACATAGGACACGAGGCCATGCGTTTAGACTGGAAGAAAGAAGATTTCGTCTAAGGCAAAGGAAAGGTTTTTTACTGTAAGAACAATCAGGATGTGGAATTCTCTGCCTGAAGAAGTGGTTTTATCAGAGTCCATACAGATGTTCAAACGGCTACTAGATGCATTCTTGCAAGAACAGAATATTCAAGGATATACTCTTTCAATGTAGGGTAATAACTGCTTGATCCAAGGATAAATCTGACTGCCATTCTGGGGTCAAGAAGGAATTTTTTTCCTAGCTTGTTGCAAAATTGTGCTTCAAACTGGGTTTTTTTGCCTTCTTTTGGATCAACAGCAAAAAACAAATGTGAGGTAGGCTGAACTTGATGGATGCAAGTCTCTGTTCAGCTATGTAACTATGTAACTATGCATAAAATTGCTTCATTGGTTGCAGGGACCCCTGTTTGTCTTATTTGGTCTTCACTCTATAGAGTGTGCTTAGAGAAGATACCTTCATTATGTCCAGTCCCATTTTTAAGAAAAATGGGAAATCAATTATATGGACCAATAAAACATATTTTATGAGTTTTAACTTGTCCCAGTAACATGAAGCCCCCATTGTTGAGTAGATGCCTAGGAAGCAATAGAATATTTCTTATGATTGTTATGTGATGATTGTTCCGAAATTACTCAAGATTTGTTTTTATAAACACTATTCAATATCTCTTGCCTTTTTTTTGTTAGTGAACTGTTTATAATAATCATGAAATGTAACCCACAATGCATCTCATGCCAATCTGAAGTTCACAGTGCACATGATAGCTGGTGGCATAACAGATTTCCCAATGTGTGTTTAATTTGGATTTTCTCCATTATTGTTTAATAATTGTTAAAAAAAAAAAAATCTGGAATGTCAATACAAGTCTTTATTGTTTAAATATTACAGGCTGGTGCTAAATGATTTATTAACCTTTTCGTATTTAATGGGCAGTCTAATGTGTTGCTGTCAAATGGCTGCCAACCAGGATTTATAAAACAAACTGCATTTCCCTCTGTAAAGCATCAAGCTAAATTGACGTCTAAACCCTGCCATATAGCCTTCTGCTGATCCTCCCAACAACCCGCAAAGCTGTATCCTTTTCTTCTTCCCCCAACCAGACAGATTTGTGCTACTTTCCCCTAACTATGGATTCTTATTCTGTCTCCTTAACCAAGCTGCAGAACCTTGTACTGACTACTTCAACCATTCACAGAGCTTATTCTTTCCCTCAGCTACAGAACCATGTGACCACTTCTTTCCCCAACTGCCTAGCATATACGGACTACTTCCACCCTCTGCGGAATCCTGTACTGACTGGTTTTTCTCTCTACGGAACCCTGCACTGAATCCCTCCTCTCAACCTTGAGTTTCCTTTCATACAGCCTTGCCCTGACTCCTTTTCCCACCACAGAGCCATTATCTACTCCTTTACCCCCGAAGAGCCTTATATTTCTATTTGAGCTTTAGTTCTGTAAAGACGTGAAGAGATATTGCATGAAATGCATATAATAACTAATGTACACCATTTATAAGTGTTTATAAGTGATCCTTTTATATTTACTAAAAAATAAAATATCTTATTGATGTTAGAGAATGCCCCTCTGGATGTTTACTAGCAGCTTGAAACTAAAATTAGCAGAGATTTACAAGAATGGTAATATTCATACAAACAGTTGTATTAGCATGAATGACTCATGGCTGTATCCAGGTTGGTTCCGGTGGGAGATCATGGGTAACTGCTGTGATGAAGCAGACAGATGGACGCACCCTTTTTGGTGTGTCCTGGGGGGAAAACAGACAGACACAGAGGTCTATCAAATATATGTTTATTTGTAAAAAAAGTAGGTTCTGAGCAGCCAGAAATAAACAATTATTTTCATAATCTTGATTACCATATGTTACCGAAAAAAGAATGCATCAAGCGTTTAAAACCCCCCAGACAGTTGCAAAATAAATCAACAACTATGTGGAGGCATTTAGATGATATGAGGGGGTAAAACATGGGCAGTCACTGGTGGGATGGGGGCTGTCAGTCTGAGTGCGCTGCTATTTATTTATTTTTTGGGTTACCAGCAATATATGTTACCTTTGTACAAGCATTAGCTAATCTGCTTTGTGGTTACATATACTTGTCAGGATTACTAGTTGATCCCGCACGTAGAATTGTGTCACACAGATGACTAATATGTAATGTATTACCGGGCCTTAGAATGGCCGGACGTAACATACCAAAGAGTAGTCAGGATACTTGCCGAGGTCAGGGGATACAGAAAGAGACACAACGATAAGGGAAAGCCAGAAGTCAGGGATACCAGAATACAGGGAAGTCAAAATCAAAGCCAAAGTCAAAAACCAGAAGAAACTTGAATCAGGAACGTGCTCTTGGACAACCACTAGGGAAACCACGACAGGGCACTGTGAAGAATGAGAACTGGGCCTAAATAACCCTCCTTTAGATCTGATAGGCTGTAACCTGCCTTTGACTCCAAAGGCAGTTACCAGGATCCCATTTGCATAATTGCTGCTCAGCATTAGCCCTTCTGTGGATTGGTTGCTGCTCGGCACAACTTTTCCTGTGTGGACAGTAAATGCCATTAACCACATTTTTATAAGCGGATGAATACGTGACAATACTGGATTTAAAGCTGGTTTCTCTAAGTTTAATTGTGCTGTCCTGCAATATAAGTAGTGAATCCATTTGGTTCGATATTTTATCTTGGGTCGACTGGGCCCCATTTCTCACCCCCTTTCGTCCCCTAGGAGAGCTGGAAGCGGCTGCTACAAGCTTTTGTTAACTTTCCTGAGGTGCTTAATGTGTGCTTTTAAATATGCCACAGTGAGATGTATATTTGCTCTACATGCGGTTAATGGTTTGCATTAGACTGACTCACTAGCAAGTTCACAAGTCCTCAGTAATGCCAAAGTATCATTTACAGAATATACAGACACACTTTTTAGGGTGTGCCTCATGGCTTAGATTTTTATTTAGGCCACATTATGGCATAAATTTACAATCTAGAAACTGATTTATATTCAAGCAAGCAGTATTCTTGTAGGTTTTCCATTTTGTGGAAGAATTTCCTAGAGCTGAAATGCCATTGGCATTTTATTTTTCATTTTTAAGTCTCTGTGATCTGATGTGAAAAGGTGTTCCTAGATTCGAAAAATACTCTGGGTTGACTACAAAAGGAAAATCTGTTCACAAAGTGTGTGGATAACAAGTTCAACTTCAACTAGGTGTACCTGTAACCTATACTTTGTGCTAGTGAACTTTGTATTTATTGAATAAAATATATACTTATCTGAAGACAGCGTAGACTTCACCTTTGCCTGCCACACCAGACTTCCAGGGTCGATGTCACCATTATTACAATTATGCAAAGTGCCCAGACGGAGTCAGAACCACTTTAAATAACTTTCTTGAATTATAAAATTGCTAACAGTTTTGTTAGCAGAACATCTGCATTACTTGTCAAGTCCTATAAGATGACACCACCAAGTCACAGTTGCCTTGACAGGTGCAAGATATAACCTTCACTCACATGAGAGAGAGACAACTAGACAGTTAAATCTACATGCAGAAAACACCTAGCATAATGAAATCACATGCTCATTGTCCCAGTGTCACCAACCAATTCCCTCCTGATCTAATTGTCCCCATCCTCTCCACTCTCTTCATCAATCTAGCATCTCTAACTTACTCCTCCATGCTGTTACCTTGTCCTGACCTTCTAGCCAGTTTCCTCTAAATGCCCCCATCACATGATGTAGTATTTATCAGATTCCCAGGATTGGGATCGAGAGGCCCAATGCACCTTCCTGCTTTGGTAAGGCAGTTCTGGCATGCAGAGCAATCTTAAGTGTGTGTGCATATAAAGATACTGACTTTCTAATCTCACGCTATCAATGTTACTTATTGTCAGAACTACATTACAGGACCCAGAAATGTGTTTAGGAATAAACATGTGTCTTTCTCAAAGCTCAGCAATCAGTAAACAATACTGCATTGGAGAAGGTAAAGGGACCACAGATCTGTTCAAAGTAGTGACCATGGTTCAAAGAACACTACAGGAACCAGTCTGGTTTCAGAGTTTGCTTAATTTGTACAATAACCCATATAGACAGATAGTGGTTTGTGTTTGCCTTCATGATATTTTATGATGTTAGCATCTTGCACGGATGGAAAATGTTCTGCAGACAATAGCAATGCCACAACAATGCCAAGGTCTAATTTACAAATTGCACCAAAATAAATGTATCTAGTATTTTTAAGATATTGCTTTTTCAGCACAGGTTTTTTTTTTAAATTGTTTTCAGTTCATGGGAAGCTTAGTGATATATACAAGAGTTTGGTTATCTGCCAACCTGTACTCAAGCATGGTTTTCTAACAAAATATAATCTGATTTTTTTTGTAATGCCAACTAGAACTTGGCTGTTGAGGTTGGTGGTAGTGAACTAATTGTAGTTTAGTTAGAAACCATTAGATATGAGTTTGCTTTGTGTATATATTTAAAGGGACACTATAGTCACCAGAACAACTACAGCTTAATTTAGTTGTTCTGGTGAGTTTAGTTGGTCCCTGCAGGCTTTTTGTTGTGAACACTATTTTTTTCAGAGAAAAGGCAGTGTTTACATTGCTCCCTAGAGACATCTCCAGTGGCCACTCCTCAGATGGCCATTGTGATTGACTGAGATAATCACTTCTCATGATGTCAGCCAAGGAGGCGGATTGGGGACAGAGCCATCGCCAGCAGATGAAAATAAGGTTAGATTTTACTATATTTAGGAGGGCAACCATGTTTGTGTTCCTGAACCTATAGTGTTCCTTTAAGTACTTAAAGTACTAATAGATCATGCCCCTGCAGTCTTAACTCGTAAATGGCAGCATATTGATCCATAAATCACTTTTGTTTCTGTTTATGCAGCCCTAGCCACACCTCCTCTGACTATGACTGACACAGCCTGTATGAAAACAAAATGGTTTCATTTTATATTAGATGTTAACTTGCTTTAGAGGTTTTTATCTCCTGCTCTGTAAATTGACCTATGATTACACACAGGAAGCTATTAACAGAGCAGGAGATAAGAAATTCTGAATTAAAAAGACTATGCAATAAAGGAAGTTTAAACACTAGATTTCTCTTTAGAGGAAGTGTTTAGGAAGGCTGTGTAAGTCAAATGCAGTGAGAATTGGGCAAGATCTGTACACCAAAACTCACAAATTAAGCTAAACTTGTTTTGGTGCCTGTAGTATTCCTTTAACTTAGCTCCAGCTCCCTGTTTCAAATTGGTCTGTCAAAGTATGGTGTAATGCATCTGATTCAGTCCCATATTCTTGCCTTAAAGTGGATCTCTTACAGGTTGCTGTTATTCTGGTGTTTGTCAAATGTTTTTAAAGGAGACATAATGGGGTTCTTCATCTCCCTAAACCTTACCCCCTTTATTGCCACTAAGACAGTGAAAAAATGACATCCTCATTACCAATCAAAGGTTGGGAGGCCCAGTGCTCAGAGCATGTTATTCCCATTTAAATTTGAATGGATAACGAGGAATTGGTCATTATCTCAGCATCAGCTGTCCGTGCTGAGGACACTTGTATTTCTCCACATTAGTTTTTTTACAAATAATAAAAGGACTTAAATGAAGACAATTTAAGGACTGAAATGAACCACCATAACCACTACCATAAGCTTTTTTTTTTTACCAAGATATGTAAGGAACATAAAATGATGCATCTATTAAATATTTAACATTTTAGCAACGCAAGCATGAGAGGGTGTATCATGATTGAATTTATTACTTTTTCAGTATGCCAATATCAAGCACTAAAAATCTAGGGGTGGAGAGGAAGCTATAGTGCTTTGCCCATAATATTAAAGGACCACTATAGGCACCCAGACCACTTCAGCTTAATGAAGTGGTCTGGGTGCCAGGTACTGCTAGGTTTAACCCTTTTTGCAGTAAACATAGCAGTTTCAGAGAAACTGCTATGTTTACCTATGGGTTAATCCAGCCTCTAGTGGCTGTCTCATTGACAGCCGCTAGAGGGCTTCCGCGCTTCTCACTGTGATTTTCACAGTGAGAAGACGCCAGCGTCCATAGGAAAGCATTGATAATGCTTTCCTATGAGACTGGCTGAATGAGCTTGCGGCTCTTCAGCGCCACGGGAGTGGGACCCTGAGGGTGGGGGCACCCTCAGGGCACTATAGTGCCAGGAAAACCAGTATGTTTTCCTGGCACTATAGTGGTCCTTTAACTGAGTGCATATGCAAGAAACTTTTGTATATCAGAAGTGGTATTTATAACTATTAACATAAAATGATGGTACTCAGAAATGATGGCCAGGTGGATGACAGAGGTGTCATTCCTAAGGTTTACACAAAGTGCCTGAAGGCTACCCCTGCATGCAAGAACCATCACTACAACCTGTACTGCTTAACAAACGCACACCAAACTCCCAAGCACCCACACCTGCGACCTACATTTAGTGGCAACTTTATTAGGGGCACCTTTGTAATATTGAGGAGGACCGTCCTCCTTTGCCATCAGAGCAACCTGATTTTTTCATGGCATGAATTCATCAAGATGTTGGAAAAATCCCTTAGAGATTCTGGTGCACGTTGGCAGATCTGTCAGATAAAGGGCTGCAACAATGATTTTTTTTATAATCGGTTAATCAGCTGATTATTTTCTTGATTAATCGGATAAAAAAAAATTACACTTATGGGTTATTATTTGACTGATATGTTCGTCATCCACTTGAGCCATATAGCTTATCTGATTTTGCCTGCCTCCAGATTCACCCCAATGCGCACAGCGCACTGTTACATTGTTTGTTGAGATTAACTGCATAACTAAGTGTATTCAGCGATGTCTCACAAGTACAACAGTACCCCCATGTACAGGTTTTATGGTTTTTGGGAAACTTACAGGGTCAAATATAGGGCTTACCCCTTTTCCATGTTTGCATGTTTAAATTTGCCAGATAGTTTTTTTTGGCCCTAAATTGCCTTTGAGATAGTATGGCAGTCCAGGAATGAAAATTAATCCCATCATGGCATACCACTTGTAAAAGTAGACAAAATTGAGTATGTCCAGTCTTTT